TTCATAAAACCATTCAATAAAACCCCCATGTGATCACAGCTCCCCCCAAAATGTAACCGTTTAGTTTAACCTTTGTCAACATGCTTTATAAGCTACCGTCTGTTGTTTTAGGTTCAAATCTGTATTTGCAATGAAGCTGCTCACTGTTGCTGTAATGTAGAAGTAATGGAGTTTAATAACCATCCATTATCTATACACCACTTAATCCTCACTGGGGTCATGGGGGGCTGGAGTCTATCCCAGCTGACTCAGGGTGAAGGCAGGGGACACCCTGGACAGGTCACCAGTCTATCACAGGGCTACACTTAGAGACAGACAACCAAGCACACTCACATTCACACCTACAGACAATTTAGAATCACCAATTAACCTCAACATGTTTTTGGACTGTGTGGGAGGAAGCTGGAGAACCCGGAGAGAACCCACGCTGCACGAGGAGAACATGCAAACTCCACGCAGAAAGATCCCGGTGTCCTAACCAGGACGCAAACCAGTGACCTTCTAGCTGTGAGGTAACAGTGCTAACCACCGAGCCACCTTTCAGTACTGATTTTATTATTTCTTACTAAAATGTAAAGTACTTTAAAGAGCAGTTATATGTACAACTTGCAAGTATGTACTTAATTACTTTCCACCACTGCCAGCAGATGTGTGTGTGTGAGTCAGTGACAGAAAAAGGGACATTAAGGTGTTTAATATTCCAAATGTGCCCAAACAATTAAATATAATGTATTGCTATTAAAGCACGGTTTTCTTTTGAGAGTTCAGTGGCATAAGGACTTTAAATAAACTGTACTGAATGAGATGGACTCACACATAGATAAAAAGTGTTACTCTTGACAAATAAATACGCTCAAAATGGTCAGAAGATGATTGAAACCGGTGTTATGTGCTGCTGTAGCTGTAGATGAGCATGAAGAAAAGGAAAAATCCTCTGTTTCTTCCCTTCAGCTGGTACTTATGCTGTGTTAAGTCCACACTGTGAGTAATATGTGAGCAGATACTGTGAGCAGTGATATGTGGGCGCTGGTTGACCTGTATGAGGCCCAACAGCCTCACACAGTGACCTTAAAGGCATTTTAGCAGATCGATACATGGAGCAGCAGCCTGCAGCGTGTCTGTGGATCCCAGACAGAAACAATATGTGAAAAAATTTAGTTTTAATACTGACAGGCAGAGAAATGCCATCTGCACTTGGTGTTCGTTTATTACAAACCTGTTAAAGCAAAAATATGTATATTGAGAATTTAAAAAAACATAAATCCCTTTTAAACTGTTATTTCATAGATTTTTCCTGATTTGTTAAATTACAGATAACATCTTGTAAAATCACAGAGAAAAAAGTTAATTTACATGTTAACTGTAAAACAAACGGAATCTGTAAGATAATGGGCAGAGTTTGGTGTTCATTGTGATGGCTCTGTCCGATGACAGTGGTCACTAATCAGCCTCATGATGATAAAGTTTGTGTTATGTAATTTATATATCTGCTAAACAATTTGACTAGAAGTTTTAAAAGCTCTTAAGCCTCTTACTGCTTAAGACATCACCTGATCTCTGACTTCTGTCCACTGGCCTCCTTAGTTTGTTTGTTTGTTTTTTTTTTAAAAAAATTGATTTTAAAAATGTACTCATCACTTCTAAAGCTCATCATGGTTTTATCCCAAACTCCATAGCGGAGACGTTTGTGGCATGTTTGTGTCCCAACCTGAAGCCTCACATCCTCAGTTGAGGCCCTTCTAACGATCAAAACTCAAATCAAAAAGTGACCCTACTTTCACCATCAGGACCCCTTAGCTTTGGAATTTTGTCTTTCAAAGCACTTTGCAAATCAATTCATTCATTAACAATACACCGCTTAATCCTCATTAGGGTCACGGGGGGATGGAGTCTATCCCAGCTGACTCAGGGTGAAGGCAGGAGACACCCTGGACAGGTCATCAGTCTATCACAGGGATACACTTAGAGACAGACAACCAAGCACACTCACATTCACACCTACGGACCATTTAGAATCACCAATTAACCTCAACATGTTTTTGCACAGGGCTGCAAGGTGGAGCGGTGGTTAGCACCGTTGTTTCACAGCTAGAAGGTTGCTGGTTCCCATCCTGGTGAGGACACCTGGGATCTTTATGTGTGGAGTTTGCATGTTCTCCCCGTGCAGTGTGGGTTCTCTGTGGATTGTGTCCCCTGCTGTCACCCTAAGTCACCTGGGATAGACTCCAGTGACCCTAGTGAGGATAAAGCGGTGTATAGATAATGGATGGATGGATATATACTAGTAAAATAATTTAGTTATTCAAACCTCAGTGCAATTCCTATTTCAAACACCAGGTGACACTGTCGGTCTTTTAGCAACCTCCTGAACATGACTGAATGTCCTTATAGAATCCACAGTTCATGCAAAGACTTTGCTACTAAAGCAAACTGCAGCAATATGTCAATTAAGTCAGGTTTGAATATTTAAATGTTTTTGCCTGAGCCCAGATGATCCCTGCTGGTTTATTATTAGTGGTGTGAATGATTTTATTGTGGCCCTACTTGTAAACATGCATTTATTCTTGACATTATAACAAGAACAAAGTGCATCTATTCATCACGGCTTGTTGAAGACACATATTCACCAGAATGATAACATGAGCCAGATGAGTTGACGTGATTACAGCAAGGTGATGTGACAGCAGGTAGATCTTCATGTGTTTTCTAAGATGCTTCCAGTGTTAAATGATACATGCCTGAGATATCTGGAACCAACTGCATCAGTTATTGTTCTGTACAGTCTGAAACTTTAAATCCTTAAATGGACAGCAGCTCACAGAACAATGCAGAAAGTGTTTGGCTCCCTGTGGTTCAACTTTTAGGTTTTTAGACTGATTTTGTAGTGTGCAGGCCTCTTTTAGGCTTTAATTTGAAAAGGTTTCGAACCTTTGCAGCTTATGGTATCACAGTCATCTCCTATAGAGCATTTTTATTGTCTCTCACTGTTATCTTGCCAAACATTGCACCAAAAAAAAAAACATTTATAAAAACCTCTAATCTCTGTCAGGATTGCAGTGCTTGTAGGTTTCCTGGGCTCTGCTACATTCCTCCATACATGTTTATTTTTGACTCTTAGCTGCTTCTGACCCAGTGAGGCGCAGAGACACAGAGGATGTGATGGAAACTTTCCACCTGAATTTCCCCCCTCTGCTAAAACACAATCTACATCTACGTCACCTTCTCCCAAAGGTGGCTGCGACGTCACATATGTGGCATTTAGGTGTCATAGGAATATACAGAGACGTTATGGCAACGGTCCCCACTGACATGCAAACTGAAAACAGGCCAGAGAGGAAAAGGCATGAATATACTCATATACAGATTTTAATTTCAAATAACATAAGCTACATGTAAAATAAAAATGTTTTTGTAGATTTAAATACAGTGAGAACAGTGTGCTTTTATAGCCTATTCTTGTAAAAGAATAAATTATCATTTACAAAAATATAAAATTTTTCATATGGACATTTTTTAAAAAACAGTTTCTTGTTTTTCTCATAATAATGCTGCAATTAAAGTGTCAGATGTGTAAGAATGGACAGATGCAGTTGTGGCAGCATCAACAGACTGAATGGAGACATAGACGATGGGACTAAATTATGGGATGTGCTTTTAATTTTAACATTTAATTAGCATCTTGTTGGAAGTTTTGTTTCTCATTGTCTGTATGTCTAAGATAAGAATTTGTCTTCTCTGGATTTCCTGCATCCACATACTGAATACGCATCCTCATGTTGTGTGCTGTGAGCTTTATGTTTGTTTTTTTTCTGCAAAAAAGTATCATGTACGATGCCTCCTGGTCAGATAAACACTAAAAACCTAAATACAAAAAAGAATGCTATAATAAATGATAGCTTTATATACAGTGTGTGACCTGAACATCTGAGGTGTTCTTTACACATTTAATGACAAAAACAAAACCTAAGTTTTACCCACTGTGGAATTAAGACTGAAAGAGAAAAAAGAAAGACTGCTGCTGTGTGTTTGCTTTTACAGAAACATGGCTCCATGACAACATCCCAGATGGCCATACAGCTAGAATAGAACAGAAGAATAGAATAGAACTTTATGGATCCCTTTGGTGCAAACCTCAGGGAAAGTGTTGAAAGATGGATGCTGGAGGGGACGACATCGTTCCGGGTGGATGGACAGACAGCTAGCTCTGAACTTTTCCAGAGCTGCTGCAGGAACAGGATACTGGATCAGGGACTCCTCACACCCTCTTTATAAACTGTTTAAACTGCTGCCATCAGGCAAACGTTTCCGGAGCATTAAAGGAAGAACCTCCGGACTGATCAACAGCTTCGTTCCACAAGCTGTCAGAATGCTGAACTGCTGATCCGGATATGCAAACACTTCATTATTTAATTGCTTTAAGTTATTGGATCCTGAAGAAACGCTCTCTCATCTTGTTTGTACGTCTGTTCTATGTACAGCAAAATGACAATAAACTTGATTTGGTTAATAAAGGCTTGTCCTATCTTAGAATATTCAGTCAGTATTTGTCCACGTATGAACAAGTCTGTACAACATTGCTGCGTCTCTATCAGTATTTATACTTATGAAAGAATCTGTGCAATACATAAATACTGTGAGCTAGTATTTATGTATATGTCTGGCTTATTTTTCCTTTATTTTCTTAGACATATTCACTCTCCCTTTTGCTGGTGCACATTTCCCTACTTTGGGATTAATAAAGGCTTACCATAATGTCAGCTCCTACCCTGAACACAACCTATGACTACCATTACAGTCAGCCTCATTGCCTCACACAGTCAGTGTGAGCTGTCCGGGCAGGTTGACGCCTCCCGGAGATCGCCACACCTGGTTCCACCCACCACCACCAACACGATCCTGCGCACCGACGGACCGGCCCAGTGTTTGATATTTCCCAGCGCACCTGAAGGCAGCAGGAGACGGGAGGTGGAGAGAGGTGGAGGATGAACGGCGGAGAGAGAGAGAGGAGAGGGGAAAGATAGCAAGACCCAGCTAACGCCAACACACTCCGCCTGTGTGTCGCTAAACAGACGCTGCTTCAACGACACTGGCGCTAACGAATAAACCCAATTTAGCCGTTTTCTTCCAGCTAAGATGTGACTTCACGGCCGCTTCGTCGAGTGTGTTTCCCACGGCTGAAATATGTGCCGGTAGCTAGCTAGGTTACCGCGAAGACAAAAAGGGCATCTGTGTGTCTTTGAGCCTAATCTTCGGATGAGAGTTTCTGTGTTGGCGAACGGCTAAAACCTCCCCCCCTCCTCTTGTTCGCTCGAACCACCCGGGTTCTGGTTACAGTGACAGCAAAGAAAGGGAGAGAATAAACCCACCAAAGTGTCAAAATGAAATTCACAGAGCATCTCTCGGCTCACATCACCCCGGAGTGGAGAAAACAGTACATCCAGTATGAGGTAAGTTAGCTTCAGATTAACCTGCTCACGGCTAACCACTAGCTAGCGGGCTGGCTAACCAGTTAACCGATTTCAGAGCGGTTATTTCATGTCGGAAGTGTTAAGTGGGGAATGACTTGAGTTGTCTTTTACTCTCCCTGTCGTTGTACAGCAGGAACAGAGGCGCCGCTTCAGTGTAAACGAATGCTAACCAGGCAGCAGCGGTGTTAGCTAGCACCACACTAGACAAGCTAGGTTTGTTTTGTTGCTCTGCAGGTTCCAGTGTGTCTGTCATCACTGGCTGCTCGGAATGTGTTCAGGAGACAAAAGGACATCTGGCTGAGTCATCACTTATTGAGCATGTTAATCTTGGTGCCCGTTAGCCCCTCTCGTCTTGTCCTCGGATAGCTGACCTGCTGTTTTGACATCACGCTGGACAGAGAGGTGCTGATAGCTCAATCTGCAACCTTTGGTCCATTAATGCCGTTAAAGCAGTTTATCTTTATTGGGCTCTAATTTGTGCACAGGGTTGACATTGTGAACACAAAATAAATAAATCCACCTGAGCCATTGCATTTTTCTGCACTGGCATTCGGCGCATTTTGTGCTTGTCAAGGTTGCATTGGGGTTGCAGTACTGTGTGGTTCTATACAGCAGAAACCTGGTTCTGATCCTGAGAGAATAGCAGTTTTTATATAACTCTTATAAAACCTACATCTAGCTTGTAAATGCAATGTAAAGCTGTAGTGCAGCTGCTGTGTGTGCTGGATACATTTTTACTGAGTTATCTTCAATCAACATATAATCAGTTAACAGTAGTTTAGATAATCTTAAACCTTGTTGCAGTCAGTTGACTCACAAAGCCAGCAGGTGTTTGCTGTATGGAAGGATTCAAGAATCTGGTACCAGAAATTAAATCTGCTTGCAGCATTTGTTACCATCTAAGCTACAAATATTGTTGGCTTAAAGGCCTGAAACACTACAGTCACTGCCAGTTACTGCAAAGTAAGTCTGTAATCTGTAGTTACAACCTGAAAATGACTGCATTTCTATCTGACATGTTGAAATAACAAGTGCAGACATTTACCTCTGCACAGCTTATTTTTCACAAACCACTGCAGCTGCAAGTACTGAAAGTTCAGAGCAGAACGATGAAGCTTCAACTCCTTCTCCGCTCCAAATTATGGTTTGCTTATATTTGACTTCACGTCTTTGTTCTTCGTTTCCTGGTCAGAATGATGTCTGTGCAGAGCTTGAAACTGTAAGACTTTGGAGACGTTTGTCTGCTGAGGAAAAGTTTCTCTGAGCTCAATGTAAAACACATTTTAAGATTTGCGTATATAAGGGTACATTGTGGCGCCATAAATCTTTTGGAGGCCAGTCACAGTCCAACGAGCAACTTGGGCTGCAGCGATCAATTGTTTTCAGATATTCAGTTTACTGTCACCGAGGTGGAAAGAATCCAGAAAATCACATCAGAGAATTTTCATATTTCCTCCTTAAAAAATCACTCAAGCTGGTGAATCAATTATCAAGATAGGTGACAATTATTTTAGCAGTTGACAACTAATTGATTAATCATTGCAGCTCTTAGTGTGACACACAGCCACACCCAATAGACTTTAAAGTTTATCGGTAACAATATAAGTTACAGCATAAAAACAGTAGCATCGAACAATATCTTTTGACTGAAGGTCACATTTACATAAAGTCTTGACAACACTGTTCCAAACAAGTACGAAACTGTACCGACTGAGGAGGCTTAAAAACACAATGAACGTTTTATTTACAAAGTAAAATTTGTTTGGAGGAACAAGCAGCAAGACTCCCTGTATTAATAAACTAGACGTGAATGTCATGTGATGCCGCACGACATTTACAAAGGTTCCAAGAAACAGGGAGAGGTCAAACAGAATTAGAATTTTCCAACATTTTATGCGTTTTCCACAACTCTGCAAATGATTGCCGTCATGATACTTGTGAGCCAGACCCTCCGGTGAGCTGAGCTTGCTGCAGTATGTTTCTAAATACTCAGGTCATCGATCTCTCTAATGTTATTTGTGAATTGACTCTTTGTGCACGATTCACCGCCCAGTAACGCAGCTTGTCACTGGAGCAGAGAGTCAGCATCGCTTTAGAGGGTTACTGCAGTAAATATTGGATAAATAAATATAATTACTGCTTTAAATAATACCATGTTTTCTTGATAGGTTATTAATCCCCTATAATAAGATGAGTGCTGCCCTGTATAGTGCTTGTTTTCTTTACAAACACATCCTCACACAACAATCTTGTCAATACTGCAGGATGACATATTCTAATTGTGTGGTTGGGTTATATGATGTTGTACTAACCAACAAAACCATACAGTTCACTTGCTGCCATAGAGATTTATTAATGCTTTGGTTCTAGCAGCTAATGCAAATTTTGGCGAACTGGCCAAATTTAGAACTGCACAAACTGCACATACACGGCGACAAACATGTGAACACGTCTGTGCATCAAAACGGGCCCAGTAGTGTGCATCTGTCTTCAGACATTTACAGTATTTGGTCAAGTACACAGACTGGTTTGTGGAAAGCACATTAACCAAGCACCATCTTAAAGATGTCTTGTTAAAGTTGTCCAAAGATTTAACTTTAAATAACTGCAGTTATCAAAATAGTTGCTCATCAGTTTTCTGTTGATCGCCTGAGTGATTGTTGAGCCTTGGAGAGAAGTTTTAAATCACAAATCTGGGCATTTTACCAGCCTGGAACCGAATCCAAATCTTACAGTTGGATACGTGAAGTTTCTGGATGATCAAGTAGGAATGACATTAATTAAGAAACTCTACTTTTAGATGTGTGTAGTCATGTCTCTGTGGTATTATACAATATCAGGAACACATTTACATGTAACGTTACATCGTATGTTTTATCATAGTTATCAGTGATAGGATAGGAAAATACATACAACCACATCATAAAACTACAACATCGGTCCTTGTCACAGCACATGTTCGTATGTATGTGTATAAATCGGCTATAAAGTTGCATCAGACGCATTATATTGCACATTGTTGTGGCTGGAATGCAGCTATCGTGTTTCTGCCTCCAGGTTGTGTCCTCCTCTCTCTACCTGTGAGCAGCAGTGTGTGCTTTGTTCGGCGGCGGTAGATGCAGTGTTCTTCATAAGTCATGGCCGTGCTCTGCATAGTCATATACTGGGACAGCTCAGTGTGACTGCAGCACATTCCTACAGTCAGTGTCACTGGGTTCGCCAACGTACCAAAACCTGACACATTACGGCATTATGACGAGCTGGAATTCATTCAGAGTGATTAGTGGGGGAATAACTGTTGGTGCTTTTATTTATTTACATTATTTATTCATCAGTTCCTCCGTTCATTTCTCTGTGTTTTTCCAGCCTGTCTGAGCCAGAGCTGAGTTTCTGGCACAAAGTCAGAAACTATCAGTCATCTCCTCTGCACTCCTGACACATTGTTTTAATCCCATGTTCCTTTTTGCAGCACAGTCACATTAAGATCAGAGCCAAAGGTCTCTTCCTGCAGTTTGAAGCTCAGTCTGTTGTTAAGGAGCCTCAGCAGCCCTGTTCAGTGTTATGTCGGCACACCAGCTTTTTAGAATTCACTCCAGCTTTGCTCAGCTCCAGAGATCCAAACTGTAATAAACAGCTTTAATCACCAAAGCACATAGCCTCTGGTGAATTAGAGCGTCGGCCTGAAGGTTTGGCTGTTGGAAATTCTTGGAAAGTTGTGTGTAATTGGAACAAAACGCCATCAAGACAAGCAGGAATGAAAATGTCACAATGAAGCTACTGGTGATGTTGATCTGAAATGTGCTCAAGGACAGATCCAATGCACTTTTTTTGTGCTGTGCTTGTTTTTAAGTTGTTGTTGACTGTTCAGAATTCCCCACAACTTCATCTCTATTTTATACTTTTAAATTGAATTCAGTTTTAAGTAGGACTGCAACAAGTATTGTCTTTGTTGTCACTGTGCCGCCGCATTTAAACGAGGAGTTAGTAGTCTGCGTGCACACAAGGACTCGTGTCCTCTTGTTGGTTTCATGCTGTTCTGCTAATTGACAGTTCATGGCGATAATGGATCAAGAAGCAAAACAATGTGCCACTAACGGCAGTGAAGAAAAAGAAATCCAGGCTAGAAATTAGTGCTGCACACAGTTGGAATACTGGGAGAAACTGACGTTGAGATATTTAGTTTTTTATGTGATATATATGAATACACAAAAAACAGACATTTTCTCCAGAAGACTTGAATGTTTTTGTCAGAAAATATGAATAATTCCAGAATGATTACAGTGATTTTGTACGGGCGTTCATCTACATAGAAAAAACAAGATTAATGTCTTAAGTAACAGACTTAAAAGATGCTGAAACAGTTCTCAAGAACTTTTGGAAAGATATAATTATTTTGTCTTTAATTGCAACAATCGCAAGGTAATCAGTAGAAGTACAGTGTTCATGTTACGAAGCAGTCTACCAGGAACGTGTTCATGCACGTGTTTGATCGGCCAACGCAGTCATTTGCTGGATGACACTGGGCTTAGTTGGTGCAAAAATGAAACATGGCAGGCGGAGCGAACCGTGTTTCGTTAGGCAACGGGCATTTTAAACGATTTGGGTTTTTTTGGGTTGCAAAAAACTTTCTTCTATCAATTATGACAATTATTGGCAGTTGCAACCCAGATACAATCAGAATAATCATGATTTGATTGATTATGTGACTGATTGCTGACACTATGCGGCCTGAGTGTGTTAGTTTAGTTTGAGAATCAGGCCTGTGAAGGTGAAGCTCCGTCTGTAGTATTCTTGTGCGCTTATGTGTTGCTTATTTCTACTGAAGATTCACATGGAGTCGGTTTCTTCCTGCTCCTGCAGTGTTTGAACACAGACCAGATGTAGCTTGTTGTTCCACACAGCTGTAAATGTGGCCCTGAGCCCAGTTAGCTTTAGTCCCGTGAAGACGTGCGACCCAGGTCTACGAGGTTTACAGAGCC